AATTAAAGTAAGTATTAAATTATATTGAATAGATATATCTCCATTTCATCTTCCCTTTTATAGATTAGAATTGTAATGCAGAGACCAAATTTAAGAAACGAATTCAATCAATTTCTCAGCTATTTCAGATATATCTGACACAAGTCTTCAGGCATTAAATCTATCTATTCGCAATATCCGTAGTATTATACTACTCCTCTATGATATCTCTATGTCCTATATCCTGTAGTTCATTATATTGTATATCCGTCCTCTTGATGATCTGTAGTACATTCCATACAGCAGATATATGTAAGTCGCATGTAAAAGATCTCTGTATATTTTCAAAAAAGATTTTTAGACTCTTAATTAAATATAGTCGAGTCTCGATAATTTGTACCTCCTAAGTGAAAAATTGCGATAAATCGAACAAATTATTTTCCCTTGAAAATAATTTGTTCTCGATAATTCTTGATAGTTTGAATTTCTGTATAAATCGAAAAAAAAAAAGAAAAAGAATCGGATCTTATAAAGACAGCTCTTGACCAATAAAAATAAAAATAAAATAATGCCCTTTGATGCATTCAAGCTTAAGTCTCATCGCTTAACAGAATTCTGTATATTTTCAGCTCTCAAATTCAATCTATAGGTCTCATTAATGAAGTAAATATTTCTTTTAGCAAGGAGTGCTCTTCTAGCGAGCGAGCTAGAGCTCTCTCTAATTGTTACATTTCCACTTCATATGTAATTTCCATAGATATAAATTGGGTAGGTCTTGATCATATTCCTTCAACTTGAATTTCATATATTTTGGCCTTCTGAACCATTTTTCTCACTGCTGTCTCGATTTCTGTTAATCACGTTTTCGACTATTTTCTGCGTTCTGTGCTCTCACATTGACATTTGGGTGTTTCAGTTGGCTCGCCTCATGCATTCATTTCATTATTAATTTACAAAATGTGTTTTAATTTTGCTCAGTGCTCTGGGCTCAGCGCTCAGCTGCTTTCGCGTTTTGCAATCCACTTTTTTTCGTTTCATTTCCCTTAACAGTTTTTAACGCTTTTCTTCTCTGCTTCTATATTCTTAATTTTTTTTTTCTTCGCATTTTTGGTCTTATTTATTTTTGTACTTTTATTGTTGTTGCCTTTCACCAAAGAAGAAAACGTGAAAATTTCTTACATTTTATTTGCACAACATTTTAATTTGCTTGGCATTATTGTCGAACGGTGAGAGGACCGAGGCGCATGCAGCTTCTGCAGCAAAAAGTTGCTGCTGTTGCTGCAGTCAAGTCGTCATCGGCGCACAGTGGGTTCACTACCTAGTTTTCTTTGCAAAAGTTAAAGCCCTTTCAGAAGTTTAAAAAAAAAAAAAAGATTTTACATAGACCTAAAACAAATATTATCAAAAATCTATAAATAATATTCCAATTATGTTTTGAATACCAAAGTAAAAATGAAGTGAAATAATTACATAAATAAAGTAATTGCATAGATTGTACCAATTAATATAATCTGTATATTCAGTAAAGTCTCGATAAATCGAAAATCATAAAAAAAAAATAACAAAAAATTCTATCCCATTAAAAAAAATTGTTCTCGATTATTTGAACTTCTGCGTAAATCGAAAAAAAAAATCGGATTCCTTTCCATTTTGAATTATCGGGACTCGACTGTATATTATTATTTATAGACTATTTCCTTGTATATTCTTGGTATTAAATACTCTATGCATATACTGCAAACATATATCATTTATATTCATATTTTGATATTCATATCTGATAGCAACTCTAGATCCTTTAGCTCTGGCTTTCATTTACTTGCACACCTGTTTCTGCTGCTTTGCACCACTGTGCATCATGGACTCTGAAGTTCTGCAGCAACTATGAAAGGCTCCACAGCAAAGTTTGGCTCGGCGAGACATTGACATGGCTTTTGTATGTGTGTTTGTGTGTGCGTGTTTGTGTGTGTTGGGCTCTGCCTCATTCGTTTATTCCCATTTTTACTCCCATTTGCCATTACTTTTCTTATATTCTCCTATCTATTCTTTTAACTCTGAGCTTACGTTCTATGGTGTCCATCAGTTTTATGTTTGCCCTGTCTGCCCATCGGTGGCTCGAGTGCCGTAGGTGCGCAGCTCGCTCCTTTATCAGTGTAAACAGTCGTGCAACAGCAGCAGCCCTACCAACACCACCAGCACTACCAACACCAGCAACCGCATCATCGGGAAATTCTCAAGACTTGGCCTTCGCCATTCAAATGCTTTCGAAATTCGCGCAAAGGCTTTTTGCTCACTGTGAAATTCTCAGGTCTTCGCAGCTGCTTTACCCAGCAAATTGTTGTTGTGGTCACGACCGAATTTTTACCTCTTTTTCAGCTTCTTTTTCTCTTCACTTTGTGCATTTACGATCTTCTTCTTTTCCTCTTAACCTCTAACCACAATTTAATATATACATATTTTGAAATAATTTTCTTTACAAGCCCAAAATTTTGACTAAATAAAGAATAAAGACCAGACGCACATAACCTTTGGGGGTTAAGCAAATATGCGCTTTATAATGCCGAGTTTTGTCTAGATATCTTGTGAAAATAAAGACATTTTTATGCAAACATCAGCCAGCTTAGATAGAGAGCAGTGCGCTGCTGATAAGAATTTGCTAATGTGATAAAGCTCGACCTAACCAAATTTTATCAAAGACATATAAAATAACTAAGAATGTTGCAATCGGTCATTACCAACTGCATAATACTCATTCAGGGTATAAAAATAAACTAATTTTTTCCGTAAAGCAATTCGGGAGGAGTCTATAGTAGTGATTTTATGGAGCTTTATATAGTTTATAGTAAATAAGAAGTTCAACATTTTCGGAAAATTTTTTATTTCTAGTAGATCTGTAATTTTATCCGATTCTACATGCATCTAAAAGGTGTATATACACATATCCTCTTAAACTTTGAGCATTTTCACATATATTCTATTGTTCCTCCTGAGTTATCAAAGCCCGTAAATATTGTCAATTCAAAGTCTTTGACACTTTTAAAAATAGCATTTCTGAAATTCCGTATATAGTATTTAAAGAATTGCCGCGCCCTTATTGGACGTATTGGTGAATCGGAATGTTTGAGCAAAAGTTGGAATATATCTAATTTTTCCGCTCTAGTTGCAATAGAACTGGTTTATACGGAAAGGCGAATGGATGTACAGAAAGGTTAAAATACACACGGACGGATAGTTGAATGGACAGGCAGACATACGGACAAATATTTGAATTGGCGAACATTTACAGATACCAAACTCAATATACTCTTACACTCCCAGAATGAGCATTCAAAAGTGAAGGATTAACAAATGAAAGTGCTTTAGGAACTGCCTGATTAGAAAATCTTGTGATAAACATATAGATCTAGATCGATGGCTTTATTCATTTTAAATTTATTGATGCATACACTCGAAATATTCAAAGTAAAGGCAATATTTGAAATTCTAGAGTTGCATATTTGGAGATCTATATCATTATCCTTGGGTCATATCATATCTATAGCCACCTCATACAGTTGAATCGCGATAATTTGTACTCCAATAAATCGAAAATTGCGATAAATCGAAAAAACTGTATCCTCTTGAACGAAATTTGTTCTCGATAATTCTCGATAATTAATTTGGAATTATCGGGACTCGACTGTACTATATACACCAACAACTAAATAGTGAGCAGTGAGAGCAGTGTGAATGCTTCACAGCAAATGTAACTTTTTCCATTGTACTCTGTGATAAATAACAATTTGCAGCAATTGCCGTTAAAGAGGACATTTGCGAAATTCCGATGTTTATTAGATAGCGCGTTGTTGGCTGGCAGGAAAGTTTGTAGCTCTGGCTTTTGGCTCATTAAAAATAAAACATGAATACAATAATTGCATAGAACGCACTAATTAATTTTATCTGCAATGGCGTCGTTTTGGCCAACTTTTTGTGCAGCCCCAGTTCTAGCCCCACTTCCAGTCCCAGTCCAGCGCGAGTTCTGGCGCGCCATTTGGCCAAAACGCTAATTATCGCAAAAAGGCAGCACAAGTTTTTTTTTTTTTTTTTTTGGTATTTTTGGGCCACGTTTTGCGCTGCTGTGAGAGTGAATGAAAGACCTGGGCTAGCTAGCTAGCTAGCTACCTAGTGATATCTACTTACCAGTGCATTGTGTTCTTTAATGGGCGTGGCATTTATCACAGGCTGATAGAGATTGTTGTTGTTGCTGCTGGTCCTGTTGCTGCTGCTGTTGCTGCTGTTGCTGTTGCTGATGTTGCTCTTGATGTTAGTTTTGGTGATGCTGTCGATGCTGCAACTGCTGCGGTGGCCATAATCCGTTTGCTGCTGCTCATGTGAGATGCCAAATATGAAGGGACCCGTTGTTGGGCCCCCCACTGGCTGTGGATGAGGATTCAAATTCGTATTCGAATTCAGGCCCGACCGCTCGGTGTCGGTCAAAAAATCAACATTACGCCGCGTACAGAAATCATCCTCGAAACGTGACGAGTGCAGCATCAGCTGTACCGTCGCCGTGTGCTGTGCGTCCAGATAATTGCCAGAATCCGACGGATGATAGCAGGCATTGGTCGGCGGTGAGCCATTTGCAGCCGAACTGGAGCTACAATTCGATTTGGTTGTGGCCGTCGAGCTGCTGGTGGATGAGACGGGCTTAAAGGATTTCTCGCGCTCCCCATCAAAGCAGAAGTCACTCGACTGAGCCGTCGGCGACGGCGGACTGCCGTACGGATAGCCAATGTGCGGACTCTGCAGATGCTGATTGTACTGCTGGGAGAGCGCATCAAAGTCGTTAAAGCCGTGCAATCCCTTGGCGCTATCTCGCTTCTGTTGCTGCACATACGGAGAGACGTAAGCGTCGCTGGCGCTGGCGCCATTGATGTTGCGCTGCGGCGGCAGAGGTGGCGCCGGCAGAGGTGGCGCCGGCAGCGGTATACCGGCCATGGGCGAGCCCGTCCCCGTCTTCTTCTTGCCAGCGGCCTTGGTCAGCTGCAGCTGGGGACGCCGCTCGCCCAACAGCGGACGCTGCGAATTGTTGTAGGGATGATTGCGCTGCATGTAGGCCGAGCTCAGTGACATGTTGTCATCGTAGTCATTCTCCAGCTCCACTTCCATCTGATTGCATTCATAGGCATGCCCGTAAATGGTCATTGCCGCCGGCCGCTGGCGATCATGTTGATGATCGCAATATTTAATCAGCTTCGCATTCCCATTGGCTGGCATTGGCAGTGACGGTGCCGGTAGCTGCATATTTTGGCCATGGCCATGGACATGTCCGTGGCCATTTAGGGGCAACGTATTGGACGCATTGCTGCCGCTGCCGCTGCCGCTGCCGCTGTTTGTCTTCGATTTGTTGCTGCTGCCGCTGCCAAAGAGTTTGGCCAATTTGACAGTCATATTTGTGTGACGTTTTGCCTCAGACCAGACAAAAACTTTTTCAATTAAAATGTTGCCCAATGCCAAAGACAATGATAGTTGGCCAAACTCGACCCACCAACACACACAGTCGACTGCTGCTGCAGCAATTTACAGTTTCAGCTGGCGTTCGTCCTGCGAAAAGACAGACAAGAAAATACGTATATTAAAGCTAGAGTTTAAGGCATCTGAAGAGCTCAAGGCTGCACTACACTGAACTAAATCGGGTCATATTAAGTACATAGTTTTAATTTAGCATACGAATATATATATAAAGGACCTCAATAGGCAGTATTTAATTTTGAGTTAGCTTTCATTTTATATTTCATGGAATTTTAAAGTCATTTCAGTTAAAATTATTATATATT